CGCCCCCCTGGACCCCCTCCCCCGCCCGTACCCACTCGCCACCCCCACAGACGCACTGATGACATAAAATGCATTACACAACTCGTGAGGTAAGTCGGCTTCGCCGCACTCGCGTGTAAAGTCCGACTTACCTCACTTGTTGTGTAAAATACCATTTTTCACTTGTCCCGAATAACAAAAGTACTTGTGACAAGTGCCGAGGTACTTCTCACCAGTGCCCAGGTACTTGGCGCATGATACTTGCATCCAGTTGTGTAGTGACTTCAAGGAAGTGCAAAATTATTGTTTTTCCCAGAAACCCCTTGGCACTAGGTAGAAGTACTTTTTCTACTGATCAGAATTTTTTTTTCAGTGTTCAAAAATCATCTAACCCAGTTTTTTCGAACCCAAGCACCCAGGTCGTATCCATCTCGAGCAGAAATCACTCTCAAAATAGAAATAGCCAAATTGGAATTCCAACATTGTTAAAAATTGATGGATGTTCAAAACTTCACCAAGAAAAATACCGAAAACCCCGATTCATCAATTTAAAAAGCACAAAAATGTGAAGCCTGGCGTTGTATCAGTCATAAATTTTTCAGCCAGTCAAAAACATGACCCAGGTTGACAGTAGGTCGCGTGTGCGACGGTCGTTCAACTTCATAAAAATCTCTCGCGCTCGGCTTGTTGCACAATTTCTTCCCAGCTCGATACACATCTCTTCCCCCTTTTCCCACGTATATAGCAGCCGTCCTTTCAGTCGCCTTCATTTTTACGTCGTGTCGTATCTTTCGTTTGCCTCGTTTTCTCTTGGATGTATGGATATACGTTGCCATTGCGCACCGTCACTGCAAAATGTAAGCCAATGTTGAGTATATAGTTGGGTGTATGGGACCAGCATAAAACGTCTCGGACGAGTGGATACGTATGAGTATAGTCAGACTCGGAGAGAGAAGGTGGAATTCATTCGTCTCATCGAAACACGAACGGTGAAAATGTGCAGTTACGGGAATAGGAGAGAAATGAGGAGACGGATAAAAACCTTTCGTTTTATCGCTTCGCTTGCAACGCCTTACGCACTCGACCGTGTACCAATATCAATGGGAGTTTGATACAGATTTATATTTTGCTCCGATGAATCTCGTGCGCGAGTAAAAATATATTCTCCTATTTATTCTTATGATTACATCGAATACTTTTATGTGACACAACAATTTACTTGGTTTTCTTGCCGCAGAGGGAGTTCCTGATGTATTTTATTGGGCTACGTGGTTTATGGGTTGATTCAGGAATAACTGAGAACGGAAAAGCTTCTCGGGTATTTGAAAGGGGACATTTTTCACAGGAAATTTAAGGGGCCGGTTAAACCTGTAGTCTTCGAAAGAAATTACCAGATGATAATTCATTGACAAATTTCGCACACACCCAACAAATTTTTTTTATCAAATAATAATCTTCGTTTGAAATGTTTTGCTTATTTCAAGAATATTTTCGTTACAAATGACTAAAATTGTTTACTTACTTAAAGAAAAAGGATTTAATTATATTAAACGAACGATTTATTTATTTCGAATAAATGATTTTTTGAAATCGAATAAGCAATTTATTCATTTCAAATAAATAGTTTTCTTATTTAAAGACAATCACATTTGTATGTATTTTGTGAAAAAATTCCAAAAGTGTGTTTCAACAATTTTCGTGGACTATGTGGAAAACGAGCGTATGAGAAAAAAATTATTTGATTTAAATATACTTTATTTGATTCAACTAAAGCATTTTTCTGGGTTCACTTTTGCAAATTTTTGGCTAAAATCAAGTGATACTTTCAATGATATTTCAACGAATTTCGTAATTAAGAATTTACAATTTGATGATAGTATATTGTGTTACAAGTGCGTAAAGAACCACTGTTTCGCACGCACGCGTCAAACATCCTATTTTTTGTAATACCTGCCGAGTTCACTGTTCGGAACCGTAGTGGGGGTAAAGTAGTTGCTTTTGTAAAACAACCACTTTACACACACTAAACGGTTTCGAAAAGTGAACTTTGGAGGCAGGTATTACAAAAATTAATTAATGGAAAGTGGATATTTCACCTCAATTATTCCATGAAAATTGATAGGAATCCCCAAAATTCAGATAAATATTTTCTGCAATCTTCAATTGAGTGCCAATTCAGCTTAACTTGGTACTGAATATTCCTGTTTTGATTGAAAATCTGAGTACATTGAAGAAAAAGAAATTCTTCTCCCCCTGCTGCCTCAAATTTTCAAATTCTATTACATTGTCAGTGAAAATGGGCATTTCATGATATTTCCCCCTAAACCAACAATCCTTGGCATGTTCCAGAAAATCAAAGATGAATCCAGAATTTAAGATGTCGTCTTCTACGATTTCCGAAGCGTATTATACTCTTGAAGTTTAAGCGTGAATTACACTCACAATCGCTGTAAATTACCATTACTTCAACGTAATTTGCGATTTTGTATGCGTAAATTACGATAATTTTTTCCGTATTTTAGGTTTACTTATCCGTAATTAACGACGAAAAAAAAAGTTTTCAAGTGTAAATTATTATGTTTTTTTCGTAAATTACGCATGAGTAAATCGTAAAATATGTTTCAATTTAGACATCACACTTTCTTGGGCGTAATTTGTGTTTTTATTTTGTCCGTAACATACGTCTTTTTGAAGTTTAAATTCCGATTTTCATGATGAAAAAAAAGCACACATCATATTAGCGTAAATTCCGTTTGGCAAAACGTAAATGATGTTTAATGAAAAGTACACTCTAAAAAAAGATTACTTCTGATAAGTAGGAAAACTACTTGTATTCAGTACCGAGGGGTTTCTGGAGAAAAGGTAATTTTTTTATTTGGTTCAAGTCGAAAATCGACTGAATACAAGTTTTATGCTCCAAGTACAATTGGTACTGGTGACAAGTACCAACTGTACTCATCATCAGTACTAAAAGTACGTGTACTGAGTACCGAGCTGTACTTCTCAAAAGTAGAAAAAATACTCGAGACAAGTAGTAATAGCACTCAAATCCAGTACTAATGGATTTTCGCGGAATATTACAGTAAAATTTATCATACACTAGAGATCGCTGAAAAACGAAGAATTAATGCAAATAAAATTATTGTTTATTGTTCATTTGCCCCTCAAACGCTTGAAAATTGAAATGTAGTCCAATGTAATAAATTCTCGAGCTACAGAGATTTTTTTTTCAAAATTTTTCAAAAGATGTGTAGAATAACAATTACCAATTAATTTTTCCAAATTTAATTTCCAAATAGTCCTTTTTTTAATAACAAAAAATGTAATATTCATGCGAAATAGCCAGTAAAATGATCCTCAAAATAATTGTTATATTTTATATTGAAAAAAAAATTGAAGTATTAATCTTTTGAGCTATCTTGTATAAAAATTGCAATTTCGTTATGCGACAAAGAATAAAATTGCCTATTTAGAAGTCGAATTCAAAAAAATTATCTCGTAATTGTTATTCTACACATCTGTTTAAAAATTTTGAAGAAAAAATACGTCCGTAGGTCAAAAATTGAGTACACTGTGCTATTTTTCTTCATTTTCAAGGTCTTGGGGGCAAATCAACAAGAAATAATCGTTTTTTTCCCCACTTATTCTTCGTCTTTCAACATATATAAATAATCGATCATCAATGTGTAATAAATCTTACTGCAATATCTCGCGATTTTGAAACTCATCGTAACCTCCCCTTGATGAAATTTGTTAATTGTCATCTGAGAATGATAATGATAATGAGAATGATAATTAATGATATGAAATTCCTCAACAAAATAACCAACCAAAAGTACTGGAATCAAGTCATAAAAGTACTCGCGAGAAGTAGAAAAATTACTTGCTCCAAGCATCAAAGGTACTTGTGAGAAGTAAGAAAAATACTGACAGGAAGTAATAAAAGTACTTCCTCCTAGTACTTTTCCTACTTGCTTAGCAAATATTGTACTTCACCCTAGGACATGAAAAGTACTTGGGACAAGTAGTTTCCCAACTTTTCACAAGAAAACTTCTCCCAAGTAGAATTCAGTACTAGTGAGTAGTAACTTTTTTTTAGAGTGTAATTTACGTTTAGATTTTTCTGTGTTCAGTCTTGAATTCTGCGCTCTAATTGGCCCGAATCCGGTGGTCAGAAATGATCAAATCATTACTGAATCGAGATTTATTTCAAATACTTCACTGTCATTGACCAGGATCCGACCGCCAAAAAAAATCACAAGAAAACAGGTCGTCATAATTCAATGTCTATTTTGTTTTTTCAAATTTCAATTGCAATTCGATTTAAGAAGATTTGCCGCTGAAAATCAATTAAATGACTAATGGTGTTTCCATCAAGATTAAACTGATAGTGAACGAAAATTGGAATTGACATTTCAGTTAACGAGTACGTCACTCATTCCGTTGATCAACGTGGGGAGAATTAATAGGTGAATGAGCCGAAGTTATAATGAAATAAAAATATTTTTATCCAACGAAAAATTCAAACTCCAGCACCTCAATAATCCTCAAATATTTGTTTTTCTTTTTATTGGTTGTTTCAAGTCATGGTACGACTACAAGCTGCGATGGGAGCCGAAGGAGTACGGGGGAGTACATATGCTACACGTGCCTTCTGACCACATATGGCGGCCGGACATTGTTCTGTATAACAAGTGAGTCCACCGAATTAACTTAGTATCATTGACATCTTTATTTTTAATTTTTTTAATGAATAAATATCGTGTGTGTCCATTAATGGAATTTAGTGGCAACGCATGATGCCAAACAATTCATCGATTGAACACACGTTTCAGAAAATTAGAGAAATTTGCATAAATATTATTGAGAGACAAAAATGCTGTGGAGAAGTGATGAAAATGGAATAATTCCAATTTTTATGCAGATTATTTTGAAAATGTATGTTAAAATCTATCGGGTTTGAAACTGTACTCCAAAGGTCTTTTTTTCACGTATGAAAACATTTGATATAAAAACCTAGCGAATTTGCTAGATAATTCTATTGGATTTCTATTCAACTTTCTATTAGTTTTTGGCCGATTCTATTGCAATGTTCAGTAGAAAATATTTTATAGAAACTCAATGGAATTCGATTTTTCTATGCAACTTATTTTATTCAGATATTTTCTATAGAATTTCCTCGGTGCAAATTTTCCAGGTTTTTTTTTCTTTTCGTAAAGAAAATCAAACAACAAAATTTAGAAAATTTGAGCTGAAGACATTTTATAGGAAATATCTCAATAGAGATATCTCAATAGAATAAGTTGGATATAAAAATCGAATTCCATTGACTTTTTCTACAGAATATTTTCTATTGAACATTTCAATAGAATCGGATGAAAACTAATAGAAAGTTCAATTGATATCCAATAGAATTGCCTAGCGAATTCGCTAGTTTTTTCTATTGAATTTTTTCATGCGTGCTATAGAGAATTTCATACAGTGAGAAAATAAATTTCTAATATCTGAACCACATCAGTTTGAGACAAGTAATTTTCTTCAATCGCTTAATTCTCCCAAGTATCTCAACTCAGGTGGCCCAAGAAAGGTCTCATGCCCTAAAATATTCTTGTACACTGATAGACTGATTGATTTATTTCAAACGAGATTCATTAACTATTAGTGAATGGTGGAGTTGAATATGACCAAATGAATATTCGTTAATAGTTAACGAATGCTTCACTTGAGGAGTGAAAATCGAGTCGAACAAGGCTCCTCAAATGTGCATTTGTTAACTATTAACGAATGAACATTTTGGGGGACCGAATAGACCCTCGTCTCCAAACAAATCCATTTGTTAACAATAATTAATCCTTTCTATCAGTATGTTCGAGTATGATTTTGTCTCAAATGAATTCATCGAAATCGCGTAGAAGAGCCGTCAATCTTTAAGTACTGATTATTTTCATGGTTTTTTAATGCACTTCCAATATTTCAATATGTATTCCTAATATTCCGATACATATTGATATTTCAAAAATATATTCATGATGTAACGCAAAACGATAGTGATAAATGAAAATTTATGCGAGTTCCGTGAAGCACAAACATTCTGCGATTTAAGCAATTGAAAATAATTTACTTCGCTCAAGTAAATATGGTCTACATATTAGGAAATTTTTCTCTCAGCGTAATAATACACGGAAAAAAACGTGAATCAAGTATATTTTATACCGGAATTTAGTATATGCATAAACCTGAGTCAAGAATAAAATATACTTGATTCAAGTATACTAATCCTCATTCGAGTCTAAAATATACTAAACTCAAGTATATTTTATGCTCGAATGGGGGATGGGTACTTCAATTTGAGGATCATTTCGTCGTATTAAGCCGGATTGTACCAAGTCCTCTCAACTGTAATACGAGGGTCAGACATTAAGTGTCAGAATATAAGCGTCAAAAAGGGGAGGTTAAAAAATGAGAGTCTCAATATTAGGGTAAAGAAAGGAGGGTCAGAATATTGCGATGCTCATTTTTTAACCTCTACTTTTTAACCCTTATATTACACTGTAGAGAGAGAGGGTTTAGGACAACCCGGCCAAATACGAAAGAATTGATATAGAAATCCCCCAATTCGAATATGAAATATTCTTGAATTAAGTATATTTTATACTCGAATAAACAATAATTTACTGGAGTGAAAAATATTATATATTTGAATTAAGATTAATATACTTCAATGAAGTCTGTTTTATTCTTGATTCAGATTTATGTATATACTGGAGTCTGGTATAAAATATACTCAATTCAAGTATACTATTTTACGTATTGGGGATAAATTGGGGATAAAACTCTTTTTACGCTGTGGATTAAGTAAACTTGAGATGATCATTTATTTGCAGTAAAGTTTAAGGGAAATACCAGATAATTTTGAAGCTCGAGTGGTTTTCTTTCGGATTATTCCTCGAGAACGGATCACGGCCAGGGAAGATGCAGTATTTGAAATCACAATTTTGAGAATAAATGAACCGCTAGACTGTGCAATATTCAAAGCTAGTGTGCAATGTTCGATATAATAGTATATTTCTAACCTAGGGAGATAAAATGAAGGAGTAGTATCCACGTGCAGAATTACTTATTGCTTGTTAACGGTCCTTGATTTTACCTCCCGTGGTTCAAACTGTGTTTTTCCTCTCGGCATAGACGCAAAGTCAGATTTCTCTGCCGCGAAGCGTAAACACTGATAGACTGATTCATTTATTCTAAACGAGATTCGTTAAGTATTAACAAATGGTAGAGTTGAACTATGGCCAAATGATTATTCGTTAATAGTTAACGAATAGTTCACTTGAAAGGTAAAAATCGAGTCAAACAATCCTCCTCAAATGTGCATTTGTTAACTATTAACGAATGAACATTTGGTGAGACTGAATAGACCCTCGTCTCCAACCAAATCCATTCATTAACAATGACTACTCCTTTCTATCAGTGAATGTGTACATTGTGCCCGCCGAGGTGAAATAGTATATTATGTCATCAGGCGATAAAAGTATTATGTGACGAATGTGACTTTATAATCCTCGCCTTCGGACCCGATAATCGCACGAGTCAGATGATAGTTTTATCGCCGTGTGACATACACTGTTAGAAAAAAAATGAAATATTATGGACAGTTCACTAAGAATTTTCAGGACAGTGATATAAAATGCGATTTAGGGGAAAAATTATGAAATTTCAGGTTTCACTGAAAATTCAGTAAAATTCCAGAATTTTAAGCAGCATAAAGACGATAATTCCTTAATTTATTTGAATTTCCAATCTAATATAAATATTCAGTGTCAAATTACATTGAATTTTCAGTGAAATCTGAAATTTCATGATTTTCTCCCCCTGAATCGCATTCAGTGTCACTGTCCTGAAAATTCCAGAATATATTACCGGAATTTTCTGGTATTTTATTAATTTTCATGGAAAAATTAAGCTGAAATGTACAGTTCTCTTTGATGTTTCCACAAAATTCTGAATTTTCAATGATGAAACTCCTTCAAATTTCAGTGATAATTAAACTCGATAAAAATTTCCACAAAGTGTACCGGAGATTTCAGACAAAAATATTTTTCATTGTACGATATTTCATGTCATTGGACCCGAAAACCTCGATCTAACCGAGCGAAGCGAAGTTAGAATTGCCGTTTCTCGAGCTTAGTGACATAAATGTTCGTCCAGCTCATCACGTGACGTCAAATACTGCCTTCTAATTGAACATAATCCGTTCTCGCCCTTATGGGAATGAGATATATGCAGCACTTATACCTAGCATATATTTGGCATACCACATTTTTGGCCGAAAATATATTTGAGATATATGGCAGATATATGTTAAATATTTTACATCGAGATATATGTGCATATTTATATCTAGGATATATCTGGCATGACATTTTTGGCCGAAATATAAGTGAAATATACTGAGATATATGTCCGGATATATGTTCTTTCCATGAGGGCGGGTAGTAATCTATGATATTCTGCACCAACCCCCTCCCCTTAGATACCACCAAAATAATCTGCAATTCCATGTTGGCTCACTTCAATCCAGAATCAATTCTCCACTCTTTTAATTCTCCAAATAAACGAGTGTTCATTCTTTTTTTACTCAATTTATATCCCCGAAATGCTGAGAAATGCGTTGGGTGAAATTCCTACAGTCGTTCCCTTGTTTCAAAAGTTACGGAAAAATGTAGGACGAGCGTGTGCGACAGAACCCATTGTATTTCGTTCCCTCTCCTCTCATCATTTTCGACTCGCCCCTCCACAGCGTCATATTTTCCAGTGAAAAGAATTTTTCTTCTATCCCTCGGTCTTTATTTTCACCACCCGGGGAAATTTATGCTCTCGCCCGCGTGCCTTCCGTCATATTTGCGTAACTTTTGTCATCGTCACGAAGCAACAAAATGCTGTGTAACGAGAACGCCACTGTCATCTTTATTTTCTTTTATTGTATTTTTTTTCAATCTAATACCGTTGATTATTAATGCTCTTGTGTTTTACATGTATTTATTTTTAATCGTGATGATCATTATCACTGTAGACAGGATAGATTATCATTTATATCGCATGATATACGGGCGCTGCGGCGAGTAATAAATATCATCCAGCAATTTTAAATTCACAAATTTATCTGAGTGTGTTTGTGAATGGTTTATTAAAAATTAATACGAGTAACGACTATCTCGTTTTAATTAATACTAATGAAGAATGTATTGTTCATTGTCATGGAAAATTAACGAATTTTTAATTATCAACTTCAAACGATGAATTAATTAATAGAAAAAAAAATCGAGAGAGAGTTTAGTGAAAAATTCTTTCATTTCGTCTGTACTCCGGAATAAAAAAAATCCATAAATTTTTTTTCCCCATTTTTTTCCATCATTGTATTTGCAACATGACTGCACCCGAGTGAGCCCCATCACTGTATTCCGGGATTCTCTAATTCTGCGTATGTGACCGCGTTTACACATCGTTTACGTCGACGTACCAAAGCCGCTGGTTACAGGCGACATGGGAGAATGGTTACTCTCCATGTGTTTGCTCTCGTATATCCTATTCCCAGTGTTTTTGAAATAAAACCACTTATGGGGCATCGTTTATCCAATTGAGTTTTTTTTTGTTCTTTGTGTTGCATTTTTTGGATATTTGGAACGACTTGTTA